CATGCGATGCTTGCCAACGTTTATGGGATTCATGACTAGCAAACGGCATCCACAAAGGCCATGTCCCTGGGCGTTCCAACCATTACAACTGACCCTTGGCATGCCCTTGGCATCTGGGGTACTCCGAAACAAGCATTGTTGATGGGCACTCCAGCTTTGTAGGATTTGGGCACTAGGTGCAAAAGTCATTTGTGAATCTGTGAAAATCCTGCGCCTTCACTAGCGATGCGATTGAATCCGCTGAGCTTGGAGGTGAAGCCCAAGTCTGCTCTTCGGGCCGGTACATCGTCAGCAAGGGTGCAAACGTGTTTGCCGTCCACTGTTCCATCATTGTTCGCCGCGCATTCACATCCCCTTCTTGGCGAGCCAAAGCCGCCGTGGCACTCTGCCACTCACTCAAGCGCGCTCCGAGCACGCATCCTGCACCTTGAGAGCTGGCAAGCCATGCCCACAAGTTCCAAGCAGGGCAAACAAGCTTGCCAGGGCGCCGAAAGGGCTTCCTTGAAGGTCACAGCGGTTGTTGCTGGTGTGATCCTTCAACACCAACTTTCACAACATATGCTCTTCGGGAACCCCGCAGATCTTGCGCAAGGCTGCACCGCCAGTCGGCCTCAGTCAGCTGAGGCTGCTCAAGTTGCGCAAACGTGCTTGTGTGCCGCAGTTCCAGTGCGAGACGTGCAGTCACAGCTTTCCATGCTTGGCAAGCCAAGCTGCTGTGCGAGCATGCCCACACAAACGCATCAATCAAGGGAGGAAAACGGGAGAGCCAGTGCCAGCTGAACAGCCAAAACCATGCTGAAACTGGTTTGCACGAGCGCCCCCAAAGGGAATGTCAATAAAGGATCTACTCGCACTGTGTGAGTGGCACTACGAACAGACTTTGCTAATGCGTACCCACTTGCATGAGTGAAAGCCAGGGTTCTTGAAAAACAAGCGAGATATTGCCTGCTGGTAGCTCCTTGTTTCGAATGTGCAAGACAAGCCAAAAAGATCAGAACTTCCGAGGCGTTGCGCAAAAACAAACTTTGAGCTTCCGCGCGCCCTTCCGCGGAATCCAATTTTGGCACCCCAAAACTAAGCTTCTTCATAGGAAGCTTGATCGCAGCTCACATGAGGGGTGGTGTTCATTCCCTTCAAATTTGATTCGACGTATACGCCGCACCCACGAAGCCTTCCAAGCGGTGCGAAGGCTACTTCCGTGAGCATGTTTCTAAAAAGAGCTTCCGGCCTTCCGAAGGAAAGTGGCTGGAAATTGAGGAAGGTAGCTTGCGCCAGGGAATGAGTGTGCACGATCTGCTCGTATTCCTAGTAAGAGCAAATGTACTTCTGGAAGGAGCAAATCAACCCCGCTTCTGCGGGCTTCCGCGCGAAAAAAGGCTTCCGCACATCTTCCTCGAACCTTCCGCGGCTGCAGTGTGCTACCTGTTTTGGTGATACGTCCACCTCTGGACATGTTTTTGCTTGCGCCGGGGGAGAACAGTGCGGGCGTGAATCCAGGGTCTCTAGCTCTGTAAAGAGCATGTTGCAGCTTTTAGCTGCATTGGGCAGAATGGCACTTGAAAAGAAGCTCTTCTTTTTTGGAAGTGGGACAGCTTCTGATTCCCGGAAATGGGGCCAACAAATTTCGCAAAGCTTGGGCAGAGCTACGCAAGCGCGTGTTTCGTGGATGGCCAGCTCTGGGCCAGACTTTTGCAAATTTTGCCAACAACCTCAGGAGTTGAGTTACAAGGTTTGGGTGAGGCACAGCTTGCCAGCCAGAGATATCCCAAACTTGGGGAGAAGGCTAACGCAAAGATTATGCGACCAGGTGCGGGAGGGGGAGCCGCAGGGTCGGACCACACTGCAAGGCATATGCAAACAGGGCCCTGTTTGCGGTGAGTCTGTGTAGTGTCTCTGGACGTTGTAGCAGCTCCAGCGTTTCTGACCTTGTCTGTTCACGAGTAGTGACACGGGCGTAGGCAGTGTGTCAGCGGAAAAGTCCTCTGCACCAGAGCGATTCTAGTAGCATTGGCACAAGCAGACTCTGTCTCAAACCTGACTGCTGCAGGTAAACTCCCACGCTCGGGGCTTCCTTTTCTTCACACCCAAAAGTTCAAAAGGCGGCCGCGTCTCAACGTGCGTGTGGCATGGATCGGGACACTGTTGGATAAGATGCCAACCTGCTCCCAACAGCCACCGCGGCTCACTCGAGCAGATAAGCACCGTTGCGAGTTCTTGCGCAAACACACGCCCGGGTGGCCACGCCTGTGTTGTTGTTGCATGAGAGGCCAACCCGCTCCTTGAAAGGAGGTTCTGGCGGCCAAAGTTGCCACGACGGCATCGCAGGCAACATTGGAGCCGGAGAAAGGCGGCCACATCGAGAGGGAAGGCGCAGGGTCGGACCGGTGCTGGTTTCTTCAAATGCCCGCCAAAGGTTCCACCATGCTCTGGTCGTTTGACATGCGGGGTCGTGGACCCAGGGTTTCCCAGTCACACCCAGGGCTTCGCAATTGCATTGGCATATCTCCGAAGCTCACGAGTGTGCCTATCCTGTGATCGGGCCATAAAAAGCATCCGAACGGCTCCAAGAACTTCAGACCGTTTGCTCGGCTCCGGAAGTGTCCTTGCGAGCCATGGGCGGCAAGGGTCGATACCAATGTTACCAACAGACCTTCTCGGAAGCTACAGCACACGAGGCAAGTAATCTCCTAGAGCAGCTGCGAACATGGTATTTTTCTGGAGGGGTCTTTTTAAAGGGCCGCCTTTGTCTTAAAGGGGGTTTCACGTTGCAAGCTTCGTTTCTACGGGTCGGCTTTGCTTTACAAGGGGTAGCCCTATTCCGGAATACAGGTCCTTCAGGCGGAATCGTGGATCCCTCAAATAACAAGCAACTCTCACAAGGCTTGGCACTCTGAATGGAGCATGGGCATGGACCTATGCGGCGGCGTCTGCAGTGGCACGGGCCTTCTTGCCGGGTGCCAAGCGAACTTGGGCGATCTGTGGTCACACTACCCACTGACCATACCTTCCGCGTCCCTCGTAGCTATTTCCGGACCCTTCATGCAACAGCAAGCGCTGCAGTGGTTGAGTGCCAAGCTGCTCCCTCACCAAGCATTTGGATCAAGATGCCTGGATCCTCCAAGGTGTGTCTTTTTGACGGTCTTTCGAGAAAAAACATTTTTGGCTGGAAAAGCACTGTTGCTAGCTGCGGGCTTTTCCCAGTGATGCATGTTTTCTTGATTGGGCTTGTGCTGGACAAGCGCTTTTCCTCGGTCCAAAGCCGCTTTTACCGGACCAAAAGGCGCTTTTACTGACACGCTTTGCGGTGCGTCAAAAAGCGCTTTTTGCAAGGGATGATCTGCTGGGCCGAACAGACAAGAAATGTTGTTGCCACAAGGGGCGCTTGCTCTTCACAGCGCCTATGAGAGGCTTCAACCTGCTCCTTGAAAAGGCCAAGACAGGCGAAACTGGGGCGGCCGCACCGATTTCTGCTAGGACTGCCAGTAGAAACCATTTTCTTCCCTGTGGCTCATGTGTAGTACGCTTGCCACACCTGATGCCCAGACCCTGCTGAGCTTCAGTGGATGCCACAAAGGAGCTTTTGGGCAAGCGCGTGGGGCTGAGGGTCGTCCCTCGCGCCGACCAGCACAAGTTTACTGCCTTACATCAATCAGGTCGGAGCAAGTGGGCAAGGGCGAGGGCAAGAGGCTGCCATTTTCACAGAAATTGGGCCAATTAGGCCCTGCCCAAAGAAATGGATAATCTGGTTCGCAATTGTTTCTTGCTCGACATGTTTGCAAAGTCTGAGCATATTGATTTGTCATTTCCCACGCGTAGCCCCATGGCCAGCATGGTTATTTACCCTTATTGAGTCTGCGCTTGCTCTTGCGGCTTCATTGAACCATATTGAGCCTTCACCAGCTGACAGTCGGTCTTGTCCCTGCCGAGAGACTACCAGTTTAATAGTTAGGACCAAGATCAGCAGCTATGAGAGAAACATCAGCATCAGCATGACCAAAAGGTAAACCACAGGGGATACAATCACATGTGGCAATGAGCTGTACGGAGCTTTTGACTGAGGTGGAGTTGCCACATGTTCTTCTGCTGCGAGCTGGGTGAAATCTTGGCGCCATCGCCAAGGGCCTGATCTGCACGCCCATGTTTTGTGCAATGCTTGGCACAATAAAACTAAATTCCGAACTGCGCTCGTGATTTATTGCGCGCAAGTCAACCCACTGGTTTACAGTGGAGCAATCAAGCTCAATGCCGTTGCGTCAGGTTCAACGCTTTGTTGCTTTGAGGGTGTCAGTTGCAATCGGGAAGCTACAACCATTCCCACAAACATGCTCAGCTCTGCGGCCAGGATTCCTGCTTCCGAATCTTGGATTGTGCGGGAGACTTACTGGCATCGGCCGCCTTCTGCGGATCGAGCTGCAACATGGAGGCACAATAGATCGAATCTATCTTCTGAGCCAATCTCAGGCATCGGAGCATAGAAGACATACCTCAGCACTACAGACACAAATCTATAACATTGCGGAATCTGAGATAGAGAAGCCTCACCCCTTGGTTGTGTTTTATTTCCGGGTAGCTTGTTTGAAGTTCTCTCACGGGGAGAAAGCAAACCACTCCAAAGGAACTTGGTAAGTTTCTTCCCCGAAGTGAACCTTCCTTGGGAAGGCCGCTGACCCTTCCAGTTGCCCAATCAACGGCTTCCACTAGCAACTTTCCCTAAAACCTGGCGGTTTCCTTTGGATGTGACGAAAATAGTGCTGTTGTTGCATGTGTTGTAACAATGTGAGACAACATCAGGTTTTCTACACACAAAACCCAAGAAACACAAAGTGCAGGCTCTGCCCCCAGATCCTGGAGGGACTCTCAACGGTGTCCAAATCGGACCCCCCGATCGATTCAGGTGAACACATGGGACCCTCTTACGCAATACCAAACCCATGTAGAACCAGCTGCCTACCAAACCCGCCCTGCTACCCTCCATCCCCCCCCCCTTCCGTTCGCCCCGCCTTGGACGTCGTCCTGAGCACGTCGAATGTAGGGTGATACGTTTTGCCAAGCGTGCACCAAACGGAAGGTCTTTGAAAGACGGGGAACCTCCCGAGTCAATTTCCAACAACCCGAGTCGATCAACAGCTTTCACGGGTTTGGGGACCCGGTCAGGAGTGAGGTAGACTTTGCCTGGGTTTTTCAGGGGGTCCTCACCTCAAAACGCGACGACGCGGTGGCGGTTTTGACAAAAAACAAGCACGAAGATCCCTGGCGTCCAAAAGCTTTCTGCCATGATGGTTTGAAAGAGATATTTATTATTTGATGCTTTATTCTTTAGATGGCGAAACACAGACGATCCACCCCGAACAAACCAAATTTTGTACATTGGCAAAGCTTAGTGCTTCGTTTTTGGTTCGACCCTAGAAGAAAGCTGTTCAGTTTACTTTCGGCGTCCTGGCATCCCAAGAAAAAAAAGGACCCTCCAGCAGCTAATCCCCAGTTGCTCCAGTCCGATATGACTGTGGTCCGTTTTTTGGACAACCCCCCCACCCCCCGAAATGTGTGGTTTCCTTTTTCCAAGGGAAAGCACACACACACCCACACACACCCACACACCCACACACACCCACACACACCCACACACAAAACAAAGTAAAAGGAGAATTCAAATAATTATTCTTTCTACTATGTTTTCCAACAGCAACACAGCAAACAGAAAACAAAATCCAGAACAACAAGCAAACAAAATAAATAATCACAACCAGCAACAAAAATATTTAATCACAGCATACAACATTAAATAATTCAAGCAAAACAAGCATACCAACAAAACAGCAACACTCTAAATCATCAAAGAACCCAAACTCAAAAACACACATCAACAAAAAACAAAGCAACATACCAACAAAAATATCACACGAGTATCAAACAAAATAAAAACAAACAGCCAAAGCACGAAAAAACTGAAGAAGCATACCAAGTCTAAACAACGCACTTTGAAAGAGATAAGCAAATTAGGAAAATATAATATTTCAATCTTTACGAACGATAAATATATTACAATTCTAACATATAATATTTCACATGTTATTATTATAGTATGATTATCGATAATATGATTAAACCTGTTTTCAGTGTTTCCAGTCGCCTATGTTGTTCCAAGAACTGCTTAAGATGTTTCTGATATTATACCAGATTAAGTTAACGTCATAATCTTTCATTGGTGCTCTTTGTTGTATTAAATAACGCAACACTGATATCAAAGTATAATAATTACAATGCATTGTTGTCATTCCTCCTCTTTCATTAATACTATTACCATTGCGTTGAACGAGTTCTTCTTTCATTATGTTTTCGTAAATCTCTTTTATCCGTTGATGATTTTGTTCTCCATACTCACCGAACATATCTAGATATATATCTTCCATTGTTCTATCGTTTGTAATTATTTCAATGACTTGTTTATACGATGGATAGGGATTATCCTCAATGAAACTCAGTATTATCTTTCTATCCTGTTCCAGCTCTTTTTCTGTCACTCCTATCACTGGCATTTTCCTCTTATTATATTAAGTCTCTATTCCTTTAAGTCATTTTGAGAAGAACAACTAAGAAAAATACAATATTTCAATCTTTACAAATGATAAGCATGGATGAAACATACTTACATTATAATTATAACATATAAGGGTATAAATGTTATAGTCATAGTATGGTTATGAATTACTATGGCACTTGGCTGAGTTTCACCGTGCTATGTCAATCACTCCTGAGCACAGCGTGGCTTGTCCATGAGCATATGTGAGCACTCCTGGGAGCATCTGTGAGCACTTCCTTGAGCATATGTGAGTACTGTTACGACGCTTTTTGTTCCGCTAAATAATTCTAATAAATTCATTTATTAGAATTATTTAGATATTATTTTTTCAAATAATACACATACTCCATCATCATTTTTGAAATTTTATAATAGTCTAATGTTTGTTGCTTTGGTTGTTTGATTTTATTACTATTCAACATTTCACAGTATTTCTTTTGCTTTGTAGGGTAGTCTCCAGTTGGTCTTCCTATAGATTTTGCTTGAAATATCTTTTCGATTTTTTCTTTATCTTCATTACGTTCAACTGGATTCATTTTGTCATCAATAGATTTACTCATATCATTTAAGGTTTTGAATTTTTTACCAATTAATGTTATCTTCTTCATTAAATCATTAATAGTATAATTCTCATTTTCAAACATTACTATATATTTATTCAGATAATTATTTATTTAATTATTTAATTATGCGTTTTTATTATACAATTTACCTGAATAATTTAATGTTATATATGTAAATAAATTATATTCTAACAGTCTTTCGCCAATTTTATTTTTCATTTGTATTAAACCTTCCTCGTCACCTGTAATTTCAAAAAATCAATATTTTATCAAATTTATCTGGTTTAGTTATACCTTTCATAAAATATTTATCACTGAATTTAGCATTAAACCAATAAAAATATTCTTCACTCAATTGTTTAGCAAAGTTTTCATCACCATTGAATAGGTCTTTAATTTCTCCATCGTTAAAAGTTATAATTCTATGGTCTTTTCCATTCATAGTTGGCATTATGATTATATAAATCACTAGATATTTATTTATTTATTTAATTATATATATTTATAAAGTGCAATTATGTTAAATCTACTCTTTAAATACTAATTTTTCATCATTTGTTTAATAGTTTCCTGCGTTTCGTTTTCATTATTATCAGATGGTGTTGCTTGCCTACCAAATTTAAAAGTTATATTATGGACATCAGTTTCTAAGTTGATACTGTCTTTAGTTTTATCAATATTCATTTTCTTATCATTTTTACTTATGTTGAAACTTGTTGGAATACATGAACATTTACAATTTCCTTTCTTTTGTATTTCTAACTCATTTTTAAGTTATAACATCTTTTTGCACATAGGACAAGCAACCTCAATTACTGCTGTTTCTTTAACAATTTCTCCGCTATCTTCATCTGTTGAAGAAACACTTAAACCTGTCTTATTTGCGTTTTTCTTTTTACTTTACCATTTATATTAATATTTACATTTTTATTTTTGATATATTGTTTTCCTAGCTTAATTATTTCTAGTGAATAATAACAACTTTTTTTATTGTCAGTAATTATTACTTGTTCTAAATGTTCTACTTCGTCAATTATATTAATATAATCTGTATAACTCCTTTGCATATTAAAAAATAAGACAAAATATAGTTCATCCTATTATTTCATGCATAATAGAATATTGGTGGGGCACAGCACTTGGGGGTTTCTTTACAATGCATCAAACTAATTGGCTTCAATGCTTATTGATTGAAGTTGATGAAAGAGCCTGTTCTACTACGATAGACACCATTCATATCATAGCAATGCTTTCATACAATAAAAATATTAAATCCGCCGACCCCTTCTCCTCAAAGGGGGAGGCGCACGGGAAGGGTGGTTGCAGTACAAGCGCATGGATTAATCTTTGAGGCAAGCATATGACTACTGGCATCATACGGATGCCCATCATCAACATCATCATCATCATCATCGATATGATCCTTCATCTTTCTTATCGTCAACATCATCATCATCATTTCTATATCCTTCAACATCATCATCCTCGTCATCATCCTTATTTTTTGATATACGTTTCAATTGTGGCGTTAGAGAGGGTTTGACATGCAAAAGCTGCGTGGACATGATGATCATGATGACTGCCCCCCCGGCCCCTGAAGATTGGGGCTTAACGCCCCGCTCTGGCCCATTGTAGCTGCCACACAGGGGACTCATTTAGGCTTGGGCGCAGGGGGCGCTATCTCAAAAAATGAGCCCCTTACTTTTCGGCACAAGGAGTGCTAGAGATACTGGGCCCGTGGGGTAAGTCTCGGGCCGCCCTGGTGATGCCGAGGATGCTACGATAGACACCATTGGCAATGCAGAGGATGCTACAACGATAGTTATGATCACAGTCCTCATCCTTATCATCACTAGCATCAGGTCATCATCATCTCTTACTAGCCGGCGCTGGTGATGCCGAGGATGCTACGATGATAGTTATCATCACAGTCCTCATCCTTGTCATCATTATCATCATGGTCATCATCATCTCTTATTAGCTGGCACTGGTGATGCCGAGGATCATCGTCTCTTGGTTCATCATCATCATCACGGTGCTCATCATCATCAGCTTCTTCGTCATCGTCCTTTTCTTTATTTACGTTGCAAGTGTCCCGTTAGACCCGATTTGAGATGCAGAAGATGCGCGGACATGATTATCATGATGACTGCTGGTGATGCTGAGGATGCGTCATGATCATTATCATGTCAGTTCATCATCATCATCATCATCATCAGCATCATCACGGTGCTCATCATCATCATCTTCTTCGTCATCGTCCTTATCTTTTTTTTATATACGTTTCAAGTGTCCCGTTAGACCCGATTTGAGATGCAGAAGATGCGTGGACATGATTATCATGATGACTGCTGGTGATGCTGAGGATCATGATTATCATGTCAGTTCATCATCATCATCATCAGCATCATCACGGTGCTTATCATCATCATCTTCTTCGTCATCGTCCTTATCATTTTTTATATACGTTTCAAGTGTCCCGTTAGACCCGATTTGAGATGCAGAAGATGCGCGGACATGATTATCATGATGACTGCTGGTGATGCTGAGGATGCGTCATGATGATTATCATGTCAGTTCATCATCATCATCATCAGCATCATCACGGTGCTCATCATCATCATCTTCTTCGTCATCGTCCTTATCTTTTTTATATACGTTTCAAGTGTCCCGTTAGACCCGATTTGAGATGCAGAAGATGCGCGGACATGATTATCATGATGACTGCTGGTGATGCTGAGGATGCGTCATGATGATTATCATGTCAGTTCATCATCATCATCATCAGCATCATCACGGTGCTTATCATCATCATCTTCTTTGTCATCGTCCTTATCTTTTTTTATATACGTTTCAAGTGTCCCGTTAGA